TCCCCCCCAGAGCTGCCTGCGAGCAAGCACACAAAAAATCCCTCCCCCGTCCCCGCGTGGCTGGATCGCCCTGGTGGCTCGATCCGCTCCGAAGTGGCTCTGGCGCGCCACTCTAAAGAACCCTGCCTAAAATAAGACCCTCCCCCCGTGGCCGGATCGCCCTGGTGGCTCGATCCCTTTCCAACAGTGGCTCTGGCGCGCCACTCTAAAGAACCCTGCCTAAAATAAGACCCTCCCGTCCTCGTCTACCTTGACGAAATACGTATCATCGCGCACCGCAGCCACTCTGAAAGAAGCGGCTCTTGTCTACATACAGTACCTGCAAGCAAGTGGCTCTGGCGCGCCACTCTAAACAACCCGGCCTGAAATAAGCCCTCCCCCCCCCCGTACCCTTCCTCGACTAGATTCAGTCACTCGTCCATTATCGCTTTAAAGGAGCGACCTGAATAGCGGTCCGAGAAACGACGGACGTGGTCAACCGCAGCTGGTCGAGTACGTCGGCGGATCGGCGGGATAGGGAGTTCTAGCTCTCCCTTGTGCGCTTCGCCGCCAGACGGACTCGGGGCACCACGCACACACCAAGGCTCGCGACGCGTCGACGCCCACCGCGGCATCTTGTCTTTCAAGGGCCCATCCGCGTGCCTGAACGGGATTCTGGGACTCTGGTTGGAAGGCAGTCTTGGTGTCTTCGCACGTGGGGCGGGGATGGTTTGCGCTCATCGGCTGGTCTTCCGAAAGGGTGGTGAACGTCGACGCCTAGCTGATGCCTCGCGGGACGGTCACGTCAAGCGGCGACGGCGCTGCTGCCCACCCGCTTCCGCTTAGGCCCTGCCGCCTTGCTCCCGGCCTTTGCGCTGCCTCCCGACGATCGACCTGCCCCGGCTGCGCCGGCGCCGCCGCTGCCAGCCTGGCCGTCTGCTGCTCCGGCACCGCCACCGCCGCCGCCGTTGGCCGCAGCGGCCTTGGCGAGCGCCTTTTGCGCCCATCCGGGCGTCCACATCAGCCGGCTGGGCAGCTTGCCCGTCGGCGGCACCTTGTACTTTTGCCGCTCCTGCTCCTCGTCCGGCAGCGTGTCGGCCCACACCTCGGCGTCCTCTTCCACGTCGACCGGCTTCGACATGGCCCGCCGCTGCCGGAACTTTTCCCGATACCACCCCTGCAGCAGTCCGATCTGCGCGGGAACCGCCGACGACGTGAGCGGTACGTAGGGCGGCGGGGGAGGATAAGGCAGCACCTCCTCCTTTGCGACTCTGTTTTCGCGCGCAATCGTCCAGGGGCGCAAGGTGACAAGGGTCGTCAGCAACAGCCCGCGCATGTGTCTCGATCTCGGTGCATATCGACGTCTGTGCCCCGCCCTGTACGTACCCTTTTGCGGCGACCGACGCCCTGGCCTGGCCCCTGCCGTGGAAAAGGCGGCTGGGCACTGTGAGGCCAGAGATGCCCAGTTCCTGGTCGAGGCCCATCTCGCGAAAGCCGAAAAAGTCGTCGCCCAGGCCTTCGGCAAAGTTGCCGCTCATTAGAGCCTCACCGCCGTCGGCAAACAGCGCATCGTCCTCGAGCACGCCCTTCTCGGCGCTTTGCTGTTGGTCGAGGGAGGAGGGAGAAAGAAGCGAGGAACATGACACGGGCGGGCAAAGTCAGCGGATCCGATCTGGCAACAGAGACGACCGAAAGAGGCACATGGCCAGGGCTCGACTCACCGTCAGCTGCTCCTTGTACGACTGCCGCAGCTTCCGCAGCAGATCGCCCATCTTGCCTCCGTACCGCTCGACGTCATCGCGGATGTAGCTCTCGAGCCCGGCCACGTCAGTGTTGCCGCTCTCGAGCAGTGTGTGCAGGATCATCTCTTCGGCGCTCATCTTGCTGGCGTACCGGTCAGAGTAGACGCGCATCGTCCGGCCAACGTTCATCAGGAACTCGGCCATGACGTCGGTCAGGACGTCGACCGCCGCCCGATGCCCGCCCTCGAAGCCGTGGTGCGCGAGCAGGTTCTTTGTGTTCCACGCGAGATGGTCCTGCGCCGACTCTGGGCTGATGCGCGCCAGCGGGTTGCGGTCCAGGTGCGCGTCTGGCGGCTCGTCGTCCTCGTCCGCGGAAGGGTAGTCGTCGCTCTCCTCGTCCGACGAGACGTGGGTGAGGTAGGCCGGTATCGGGGCCTCGCTCTCGACGACGTGGGCCAGGTTGAGAAACTTCTGGTGCGTTTCCTGCACCTTCTGGATGGTGCGAACGTTGCGCGCAATCTGGCCTTGCAGGCCTGGCCGCTGGGTCGGTGGCAGCCGCCGCCGCTTCTTCCTCCGCGGCGCCGGATCTGACACGATTCCGCCTGCGTTGACCGCCGCGAGCCCCGGCCTGCCGTAGGAGGGAAGCTCGGGGAGACCGGCCATCATCAGCTCATCCGAGGTACAGGCAGTCCACCAGCAGGCAGATGCGTCCAGCACGTCGACCGAAGCAGGCAGCTCCGGCGTGGCCCTTTCCTTGCCCTTGAGCAGGCTGGGCCGAAAGATGCCCTCGAGCGTCGCAGAGAGCGGGTCGAGAGGGGAGCGGTCCTTGAGGCCTTCCATGGTCGAGCACGCCTGGACCAGCTCGGCGTCGTGCCCGCCAGCACCATTCACAACGGCAGGGATCCGACGGGACGATGGGCCGGCGTTGTTGTCGGCTTGGGTCCAAGACGCGATGGTTGACTCTGCCTGCAGCAGCGACCGGTCGAGCGATTGAAAGGTCGACATGGACTCGGCTGTCCGTACAAATGCAGGCCGCTGGTCGAAGGGCACACTGAGGGGATCCTGCCGTTTCCGCCCTGCCGAAAAGCGCGATCCATGCTTGTCGAGCGCGATGGCGGCTGGCGAGCTCATGCGACCAGCGGTGCCAAAGCCATAGCTCGCCGGTGCCTCGTGACCCGCCCGGTCATCGCCGTCCTGACCCTTGGCCGCGCGGGCGGCTTCGTTGGCCTCCCACTGGATGAGGGCGTCCTTGACATCGCTCTTGTCGCTGATGAACTCGAGCAGGTGGTCTGCCTTTTTGCGCATGAAGTGGACGTTGCGGCGCAGCGGGTGGCTGGGGTCGGTGTTGTACTTGAGGCAGTTGTCCCAGATGAGGCCGAGGTCGTGGGCGAACTGCTTCTTGCTCTTGTACTGGCCCGCCTTGACCTTTTTCTGCATGGTGCCAAGGTCCATGGGCTGCTTGATCACGTCGTAGTAGTCGGGCGCATCGCGCTTGCTGACCTTGGAGAGAAAGGCGGCCGAGTGCTCCGAGTAGTTGCGCAGCTCCGTGAGGATGCGGTCGATGGACTCGAGAAACTCTTCGCGCTCGTCGCGGCCCTTGCGGACCTCTGTGAGGAGCTTGCGCAGGTCGGTGTCATTGAGCCGAATCGACGAGCGCTTGGCCTCGATGGCCTGGAGCAGGTACTTCATCGCAGCCAGCGGATGCCGAGCAGAGGCAGTCGAGCAAGCCGCGATCGGGCGGTAGAGGGTCGTGACGGTTAAGTCACCACTGCGCCGCCCTGAATGTAGCCCGCTGCTGCCGGTTCAGTGCAGGAGCCAAGCCGCACTAGGCGAAAGAAGGCGAGGCCAGGGGAAGTTTGCGGTCTTCGGTCGTGGAGTGGGGCCAAGTCGGAGATGGGAATCCGGGTCGAGAGGTAGGGCTATGCACGACGCGGATGCATCGCGAAATGTGTGCAGTCGCAGCGGCGAGGACGTCGAGACCGCAGCGATGCTTCCGGGGATGTCCAAGCGTGAATGCGAGGGCGACGGGATATCGGTCGACGGCGAGTGGAGGCAGGGCGATGTCCGGTTCCACGGGAGGCGCGGCAGAGGGCAGGGCAGATGGCGCAAGACGGAGGCTGTCTGTTGGAGGTCAAAGCCGATGCGATTGGCGGGTGGCGGGTTGGTAGGCCACGGGTGCAGTCTGTGGGGGTATCAAGACAGGGTAGAGTCACGCGCCGATGCCAGCGAGTGGGACGTGACGAGCAGCAAGAGTGCGTCCAGGAAGCAAGGAGACACAGGCGCCGGATGGATGGGGTGAGGAGGTCGAGAGGCGAGGTGTGACTGCCACGCGCCAGAAGCGGGTTATCTTCTACGCGCGTTGAAGATGTGGAGTGGAGTTGGTCGGGGAGTCGAGGTCGGGAAGGAAGGCGTCGACGTGTGGTGTTGGCGAAACACCCGAGCCACCCACGCCCTGGCCAGGTCAGGTAGGCCTGGCCTGGCCAAGAGCGCGCGCCATCCAAACGCCTCGGATCGCGGGAGTGCCCTGCAGCAGCACCGGCGGCGGCGATCCTCGGCCTGCCAATTCGCCGGAATCGGACGCAAAGGCAGGAGGCATGGCACTCTCCCGATGTGGCCCCTCGAGCCCACACCCCGATCGGCGAGGGGCCAGGCAGGCCAGGCCCGGCCAGGCCAGGCCAGACCTGCACAGGCCACGGCTGCGAAGCTGTTGGTGGCCTCGGCCTCGGCCTGCACATGTCCAGCTGGCCGGCCAGCACAGCACTCGCGCTCCTCTTGTGCCCTGGCCTCGAGGCCGCCCTGCTTTCCTCGCCCGCTGGCTGCCCTGGTGGCTGCGTTTCCGTCTGGCCTCCCTTGCACCTTCCCCACCACCCTCCGACATACTCTCACCCCCAGACTACTCACACACCGACCGCCTCGTCTCTCGCTCCTCTCCTCGGCCCCCTCACGACAGGGCGATCGTCTCGCCACGAGGCCAGAGCGTCATCCCTCTCCCCCTCCAAAACCCCCTCGACCAACAAGCCGGGCCACACCATCCACCCCCGACCCCTTGCGCCGCATCGACCCACATCCTCACCATGCTGCACGGCTTCGACTTCCTCCGGCAGCAGTACTCCCAGCTGGCCAAGCCGGGCTCGGGACAGCAGACCGTCGCAGCCACCGTCCAGACGCTGGCCGACCGTCTGACAAAGGCAGAAGAGACCCAGTCGCCCCTCGAAGATCGCCGCGCCGCCGTCCTCGCCCTCAAGGGACTCAGCCGCGACCACACCCGCCTCGTCGGCGAAAAGGGCCTTCCAGCCCTACTCGTCAGCCTCGAGCGCGATGCCAAGGACGAGGAGCTCGCCCGGGCGCTCATCGAGTGCTGCATCACCCTCTGCGAAGTCCCGCCGGCCGGCAGCGAACCTCAGCGCCGCCCGGGAGCCAAGAGGAAGCAGTACGAGGCAGGACCGCCAGCCGGCCTGCTCAACACCGATATCTTCCTTTCCGAGCCCGGTCCGCTCCATGCCCTGCTGCCACTGCTCGCTCCCAACCGCGCCTTCTACACTCGCTTCGCCTCGCTCCAGCTGCTCGGCTCGTTGCTCCGGAACCGCCCCTCGAGGGTGCAGGACCATGTCCTGGTGGCACCCGGCGGCTGCGGTGCTGTCCTCGAGTGCCTCGCAGAGGGCGCCGGCTCCTCGGCCGAGATTGTGCGCAACGAGGCGCTCCTCCTGCTCCCGCACCTCGTCCACGGCAACGCCGACATCCAGAAGCTCGTCGCCTTCGAGGGCGTCTTTGAGAAGCTGCTCGACGTCTGCGCCGTCGAGGGTCGCATCGAGGGCGGCGTCATCGTCCAAGACGCCCTCGAGGGTCTCGAGGCGCTGCTGCGCTACAACGTCTCAAACCAGAACTACTTCCGCGAGACCCTGTCGATCCCCATGCTGGCGCCGTTGCTCTTCTACCCTCCACCGCCCAGCCAAGATGGCGGCGCGTTTGCCGAGCAGGAGCACGCCCGGCAGCTCGAGGCGTTCTCGTTTCAGGAGTGGGACCAGCAGAAGCTGCTCAACGCCAGGCTGGTCGTGGGCATCGTCGGCATGCTCGTCGGCGGTCAGGGCGAAGGCAGGAAGTCCAACCAGGCCGCCCTGCTCCAGTGCGGCGTCACAAAGTGCCTTGCGGAGCTGGCGCTCGCCTCGACGGCACCTGCGAGTCTCAAAGCTCAGTCGCTCCACGTGCTGGCCTCGCTGCTGCGGGCATCTCGCGTCAACCAGGACCAGCTCTCCACGCTCCACGTCTTCCCCATCCAGATGATCCTGGAGGAGGCGGACGGCGCAGGCGTCGCAGCAGGTGACGCGCACGACCAGCCCGGCGGCTCGGCGTCGGCGTCCGGTCGTCCCTCGGGCGACTATGCGCAGCAGCAGCAGCAGCAGCAAATGGCGGAACCGTCCTACACGCGGCTGCCTGCACGTCCCGCAGTGGCGGCCCTGATCGGAACTGCCGTCAATGGCGCCGGCACCAAGGGAGGTCTTGGCCTGCGAGCGGCGGCCTTGGCGTGCTTCGAGGCGTACGTGGCCGACAATCTCGATGCGCGCCTCGGCATCCTCAGCACCATGGCCTCGCCGCCAGATGACAACCCCAACCAGCAGAACGACGCAGACCGACCGTACAGCGCCGGCAGCGTGCTGGTCGAAGGTCTGGTGCAGAATCCAGCCACCGAGGCCGCGGCGCGAGGCAGCGACGCCTACAAGTACCTCATCTCGTCGATGCTCTTTTCCCACGTTGTGCGCGGCAGCGAGACGGCCAAAAAGGTGGCTCGACAGATTGCCGTCACCCCCGAAGGCCAGGTGATCAAGCGCCTTCGAAAGGAGGACGAAGATGGAGGCGGCGGCGACGACGACGACGAAGACGACGACCAGGCTTCGTTGATCCAGGTCGTCGTCGGCAATCTGACGATGGCCGAGCGCGAGCTGGCCGACGCGGTGCGGCGGGAGCGAGCTGGCACGCTTGCATCGACGTCGTCGAACGGTTTCTCGGCGGCCGACTGGACCCGCATCATGACGGGCTACCTCGTCGTCCTCTCCGTCTGGCTGTTCGAGTCTCCGCTGAGCGTGCGCGACTTCCTGTCCGAGTCGGCGACGCTGCAGGCGCTGATTCAGCCTGTGGCGCAGTCGTCGGGCGTTGACCCGCTCGTCCAGGCGCTGGCCGCCTTCCTCCTCGGAGTGGCATACGAGTTCGACACGAACCCGGGCAACGTCGCCGTGACGCGCGCCACGATGCAGCCCATCCTCCTCTCGCGGATCGGAGCCGACAACTTCGCCGTACGCCTCGAGCGGCTCAAGGACGATGCCCGCTTCGCCGACGTCAGCCCGGACGGCCTCGAAAAGCTAGCAAGGCTGGAAGAGGAGCGCGAGTTCAACGAGTTCCGCGCCCGCGAGAGGGAGGAGGCCCGTCTGGCCGCCGCTGCTGCCGCTTCGGCTGCCGCCGTTGGGGCTGAGGGGGCTGCGCAGGGTGCGGGGCAGGAGACGGGCGACGCGTCTGCCCGAGCGGGCGACAAAAAGCGGAGCGGCGACGACGACGAGGACGAGGAGGCAGCGAGGGACCGCGAGCTGGAGCTGAGCGGCATGGGCCACCTCAGCCGGAGGAGAAAGATGGGCCTCTGGTTCGACTGGGCCTTTGTCGAGTTCTGGCGGGCCAATTCTGGTGAGTCACGATGGGGCGGCTGCAGTTCTGGTCTGCTCGGTTGTGCCGATGCTGACGATGCGCTCGCCTTTTCCACGCCCTGTTGCAGTCATGATCCAAAAGACGATCCTGGTCGACCCGGCCTCGTCCTCGACGCAGCAGGCCTCGGCAACGACCGAGCTGCTGGATGCGCAGCGCCAACTCGACTCGGCTCGTGATACGATCGGCAAGCAGGGGCGCGAGCTCGAGGTGCTCGAAAAGAGGGTCGAGGAGCTCAGCCGGCTTCTGGACGAGGAGCGCAAGGCCGCCGCGGAGCGCATCGAGCAGCTGGAATCCGAATCGGCCCAGTCGGTGCCCCGGATGCAGCAGCTCCAGGACGAGGTCACGGCGATCCGGACCGAAGTGGAGTCGATCACTGCCGCCAAGGCCGAGGTCGAGGAAGAGGTCAAGAAGGTCAAGGCGGAGCTCGAGTCGGCCCGCGCCGAGATTGAGGCGAAGGTGTCCCACTTCCAACAGGAGATCGCCTCTGCTTCGGCAAAGGACGCTCAACGGGGCGACGAGGCCGCCGCGGCCGCTGTGGCCGAGGCAAAGGCGGCGAGCGAGGCAGAGGTTGCGGAGTGGAGGAAGAAGCACGACGAGCTGGTCGAGCAGCTGCGGCAGGTCGAGGCCGCGAGCCAGGCGCGGGAGGAGGAGCGGGCGCGCTCGCTCGAGGCCAAGACGAGGGAGCACGACGAGGTCGTCGAGCGGCTGCAGCGTCTCGAGGCCAGCGCCAAGGCGGAGAAGGAGGAGCAGGAGCGGGTGCTGCACGCCAAGACCGAGGAGGTTGACTCGCTCACGGCGCAGCTGTCGACGGTGACGCAGGAGCGGTCCGAGATCCAGGTGCGGGTCGAGGAACAGGCGAGCCGGATCGAGAGCCTCTCTTCGGACCTCAAGACCAAGCAGGACGAAGTCGAGTCCCTCAAATCCTCTGCTGCTGCTGCTGCTGCAGCGGCGGGGTCGGGCAGCGGCGACAAGAAGAGCAAGGGAGCGACGGCGCAAGGCAAGAAGGAGGACGAGGAGATGAAGAGGCTCAGGGCGGAAAAGGAGGACCTGACAAAGGAAAACGAGGACCTCCTCGTCCTCCTCGAGGAGCTGAGCTCCAAGCGCAAAAAGGACAAGGCGAGGATGCGCGAAAAGGGCCTCGAGGTCAGCGAAGACGAGGACGACGACGACGACGACGATGATGATGATGCCGACGAGGGCGATGACGAGTAGCGAGGTACGGCATGCGCGCTCGCTGGCCACCCTTGTAGCCCAATCGGAAACGACGGCTGTGCCTTCACCCGCCTTGCAGGCTGTGATGCGATCGCCGTGGTGCTCTGGCAATGGCCAGCATCGAGATCAGGACCGGGGGGAAAAAGGGGAAGCAGGCGAGTTCGATGTGATCTGGCTGCTGGTTCAGCATGTCGAATGCCCAGAACGGGAAAGAGTATGGCTACATGTGTAGGTTGCGACGATGTGCAGGCGCGGGCAGGTAGGCAGAAGGAAGAGCATGGCGAGGAAGCGGGTGGGTGACAAGTGACGGGTGACGGCAGACGGCAGACGGCAGACGGGAACGGCATGGCGAGAGCACGGCAGCGGCGGCGACCGCACTGCGCAGAGATGACCGGCAGGTCAGGCAGGAGGCTGACGGGCATCCTCGCTGCCAGCCTAGATCAACGACCACGGAGCCGCTCCGCCGCCAGGTACTGTCTCCTTTTTCTTGATCTGGGCAAACGCAGCCGCTGCAGCGACGGCAGCGACGGCCGAGGATCCGAGCAGATTCGTGTTGGACGGATCGTGCTGAGGCGGCGGCGGCGGCAGCGACGATGACATTGGTGCGGGAGCCTCGTCGGTCATTTCGGTGTCGACCATGATCGCGGTCGGTCGCGTCTGCTGCAGCTGTTGCGACTTGGTCTGCTGCGACTTGCTCTGTTGCTGCTGCTGCTGCTGCTGCTGCTGCTGCTGCTGCTGCTGCTGCTGCCGCTGCTGAGGCGACAGGTGCGAATCGACGTCAAAGCCGAGGCTGAGATCCGTGTCCGAAAGGTGGGACGAAGGCTGGGTGGCGGCAACACGCTCGTCCTCGGTCTCGTCTTCATCATCGTCGCCCGCTGGCTTAATGAGCGAGTAGCGCGAGGCCGGCTCCACGGGTCCGAGCACTTGACCCAGCGAGAAGCCGCTGCGACACGGGGATGCAATCAGGCGGCACGAAGGGAAAGCGTATAGCAGTGAACGTCAGTAGGGCGGTTCGCCAACACAATCTAGTCTAGCCTCGGTTCGCGACCACCACTCACCTGTTGAGCTCGCCGCTGGTTCTGCTGATGCCGAGCTTGGCCAGGTCGTTGGCAGGCATGCCGAGAAGCGCGATGCTGAAGAGGATCACCATCAAGGCCATGCTGCTCGCCGACCTGCGAGGGTTTGCCAGCTGGCCGAGGGTGTGGTGATGCTGGTCGCCTGCGCTGCCAGAGCCACGGTGTGTCGCGTCGCTAGACGTGGAGAGCGACGATGGAGAAGACGGAATGGATGGCGTGGTAGCCGCAGACGCTCCCGACCGTGCGTTGCGGTAGAGCAGGCCCAGCCCGAACCTGGGAGTGCCGATCCGCGGCAGCTGCGACCGCTTGCTCTTGCGCGCCGCCTCCGAGAAGCTCTCGATGGTGGGCGTGACGGCAAAGTTGAAGGATGTCTCTGCGTCCTCCTCCTTGATCCTGGTGCTGCCGGCGAGGCTGGCCGAGGGCTCCGAGGCCGCTTGCGACGAGGGGACGTTGACGTCGGGCGCAAGGCCTGGGGCAATCGTGAGCAGAGGCCCATGCGGCTGAGCATCGCGGAAGGGCGCAACGGGCAGCGTCTCGGGGCCGGACTGCCAGAACGTCGGTGCGTCGGCGGCGGCACCTGCCGGTGTCTGGGCCGGGGGAGAAGCGCTGGGCCTAGCCTGCTTGAGCGCCTCGAGCTCGAACATGAGGTTCTGCTCCCGCTGGCGGGATGCGGCGAGGTCGGCCTTGAGCTTGTCGATGGCGTCCGCCTGCCACGGTCGGGAGACGTTGGCACCATCTTGCTGCTGGGCGTCGCCGCATCCGCCATCGGGCTCGGCGCTGTCGCGGCTCGGCGCCAGCAGCGCATCGTCGGCGGTGGGAGCGATGCTAGCGCCCTGCTTGGCGATGACCTGTTCGAGACAGATGATGGCCATGGGGTCCTCGGGCGAGAGCAGGGAGGGCAGCACTGTCTGGCCGAGCCTTTCGATCCCCGCATTGTGTCCCGCGATGACCTCCCACATGCGCCAAGCCATAATCGACATGGCCTTGCACTTGACCTCGAGCTCCTCGAACTGCTCGCGCTTCCTCTGGCGAGAGAGAAATGCGGCGGCGCGGTTCTTGACCAGTCTGGCCTCCCGCTTGGTGAGGCCCGAGGTGTCTGGGTGGACAAACAGGCTGGAGTGCTTGGCGGTCGTGTCGATGACGGGGAACGGATTACCCGCCTCGGTAAACTGCGAGGCCGAGGGGGGAGGTCGCCTCTGGCTCGACTTCTTCGTCGACTTGTCCTGCGAGTATGAGCCTTCGGCTCCCATCGCAGATTCGGCGTGCTCGCTTTCGCGGGTGCCGGCCGCGCTCGGAGCGGCATCGCCCGCTTTTGCGACCTTCTTTTTGCCGCCCTTCTTTGGCGAAGGTCCTTTGGCCATTGCAGCCTCCGATGCGGCATCTGCAGACACAGACGCCACGGCCGCTACCGCCTGAGAGTCGATCACCGAGAGCTTCCGCTTCTTCTCAAACGGCGGGCTGGCGACCATCTCGTTGGGAAGCGTCACATCGGGCTGCGTCGGCGTCGAAAATGGCTGGTTGAGGAAGGCCAACGACGTCGAGAGGGCGTTGCAGTCGTCTTCGCTCTTGATCTGGACATTCTGAGCGAAGGGGAACGGCGCGGCTTGCAGCGGCGGCGGCGGCACGTTGTCCAGGGCAAGCGAGCCGATCGACTGTGCGAGGCCAGCTCCTTCGGTAATCGAGCGCCACATTTCGGCGCTCTGCTGCGGCGTGAACGACTGGAAGGGGTGACCATTGATCCCGTCGAAACGTGGCTGGAAGATGTCAGGGTTGAACGACGCACTCGCAGCCATCGCGGTGGGGCCAAAGGCCTGGCGTGCGAAGTCCGCCGCACCGAAGCCATGCAGCTGATCGTTCAGTTGCGCAGACGAAGCGCCGTTCGACGTCGGGGCCACGGGGTCGTTCGAGTCGGACTGCATGGAGCGAGGAGAGTGGAATGTGGACGGCGAGTCGATGGCATCGGCATTGCGGAAGAGATCGTCGACTTTTTCGGCCGAACCGCCAAGGAGAAACTCGTGGTTGAGGAAGCTGTCGAAGTCCGAAGAGCCGTCGAGGAGGTTGAGGCCGTCCATGTTGGTGAGGAGACTTTGCGTTGTTGGACAAGGTCGAGTCCAGGCGCGTTCGGAAAGGAGCGTTGTGCGTGTGGCGGCAAACGAAAAAGGAGTGCTCCAGGCAACTGGCGCGCGAGGCAAGGAGATCGGTCGGTTATAACTGAAGAGAGAGAGAGGGAGAGAGAGGGGTCGATGAAGCATGCGGCAGAGGTCAGCGGGGACGCTGCGCAGGCGGTGGGACCAAACGGGGAGCTCATCTCGGAGCGACGGCGCGCGATAACTTGGGGCGGCGGGAACCCGTGCCGGCCTACGGCCCCAGCCCAATCCGGTAAGGTTGCGAGGGTATCGCGGGGCCTCGTCCGAGGGTTGACCAGTCAGTCACTCACCTCCTGCGATGTCTCGAAGCGGAAAGGAATTGACGAGCTACGTTGCACTGGCAACGTGAGCTTGGAAGGGCGGAAGGCGAGGTCAACTCGACCGACAGGAGGTGTCGCACCGGGCAATGACGCGGCTTGGTCCGAGGCCGTGGCTGTGTAGGCCGAGCGCGAGTCGACGTGCTGCAGTGAGAGAGCAAAGGGCGACAAGGCTGTCGCAAAGAAGGGACCCGTAGAGAAAAGCGAAGAAAGCAGCGTGAGCTTGACTGTGGAGCGGCTGGAAAGGGAGAAGTGGACGGGACGATCGCTTCGAGCTTCCTTGATATGTAGGTATGTGTCCCGTCACAACGGCCGCCCGACAGAACGCTACTACTCACGTATGAGGTGGGGCCAAGAAGGCGGCGTCGGTGACGACGGGATGTGGGTCGACAGTCTTCGTCGAGAGGGGTGGGCGGGAAAGGTTCCGAAGGGCGCGAGGTCAGTTGGTGGCTGGGACGACGATTGGTGTGGGCGCGAATGGAAGAAGCAATGGCCCTCGCTCGGCGCCTGGGCGGAGCAAGGTCCGCTCTTATTCAGGAAGCGACGGGTCACATTGTGGCCGAAGCGCTCCCGATGCGGTCCGAGAGGCAGCGCAAAGGCGCTAGCCAGAAGAGCGATGGGCCCAATAATGTCTGGCGGCGCCTGACTGCGGTAGCACAGGTGCAGGCCCGAGCCAACGCTCGGTTCGACGCCTCTACTCTTGGCTACTAGGGGCGTAGCTCAAGCGCCAAATCTGGCCAAGATGCTCAAACTCACCGATCGAGCTGTTCGACGTGGAACGGCGAGCGGCGAGGAGGCAACAGGCCAATATCGAAGCGGTTGTTGAAGGACTGTGCGACCGTGACGTTGCCACTGCGTTGCTGCGTCGAGCGAGAGGGTGGCTTGCTGGTCGGGCCGCCGTCGAAGGGCCGGAACGTCAGCGAGGTGTACGTGCTGCGCGAGATGCCGGTGTGTGAGGGCTGGGCGCCGAGGGATTGCAGGCAGCTGTGCAGGTCCGAGCGCTCGGCGAGTTGCTACGGCCTATCGATGCGGTGAGAGGTGTCAGACGGTGGCGCTGGGCGTGGGCTGAAGGTGACTGCAGGTGCTGTACTGCTGCCACTGCTGCTTGCTCGACTCGACCAACGTCGGTGCTGCAGATGGCCGTAAGCTGGGGGGCAGAAGGAGGCAGGCGCAGGGGTGGTGGCCTGCAGAACGACAGCGCAGAGGGCGGGAGTGGTTGTGATGCTACGCAGCCCCGGTCGTCGGTATCGAGGTGGCCGCCGATGGGTGGGGCGGCGAGGTGGGTCTGTTTGAGGGTGGGCAAACTTGGGCCAAAGGGAACAAAGAAGAGGCGGGGCTGGTGCGGCGGGGCAAAAGTCCTGGCGTCGAGCAAGGGTCGGTGGTGCAAAGCGGTCCCGGCGGTCTGTGTGGCCGCGATGGTGGGTTCGTTGGTATTTGAAGCCAGAAGCAAGCAAGGAGGTGCGAGAGTAGTGAGTGTGCAAGAAGGGCGCGCGCGCTGCGTTTGCGGTAACGAGGTGGTAGCGTCGACTGGAATCCGACCCGTCCTGAGTGAGCCACAGGCTGCGACGTTGCGGGCGGCGAGGATGGAAGGGCAAAGGCCTAGTACTAGAGAGGGAATAGGGGTCGTTGACGGAGCGAGGGTGATGAAAAGAAAGGAGCGGAGAGCGAGGTGGGGGCGATGGCGTTGGATATGGGTGGGGGGGGGGGGGGGGCCGGGTCCTAAGGACCGAGCGTCGTTGACGGACGTCCTGGCCTGTCTGGCCTGGCCCTGCCTCGCCTCCCTGCCTCCCTGGAAGGCTGCCTTGCCTTGGCTGTCCGGCATCCTCGACGAGGCGCCGGCACCCCGCCCGCCCTGGCTGCCCGCCCGCGTCGAAGAGACCTACCGCGGCGACCAGCCAGCAGGCAGGCAGGCAAGCCCAGGGCAGGGCAGGCTAGGGCAGACCAGCCAGCCCAGGCTAGGCTCAAGGGGCCCAGCTGCATGAAGCATGCATGTGCTTCTGCAGAAGCCAAGCACGCACGACAGAGCGGCGCCAGGCCCACCGGCTGTCTTCCGGCGTCGAGCCTTGGCCGCCCGGGTGCGTGTAGGTACGTTGCCACCGCACCGTAGCCAACCGGCCGGCCTGGGCCATGAGGCAGTTAAGGTCCCTAGAACGCCCTCGCCGACGCCCCCGTCCAATTGCCTGGCCTTGCCTGCCTGCTGCTTGGACCGCCTGCCTGCATGCTTCGACACGACCTACGTACGTGGTGAGGTACACCGGACGTCGACGTCGACGCCCCGCGTACTCGAAAAGCAAGCAAGGTGGCAGGCTGTGTGGAACTTCGGCCCTCGCCTCGGCGTCGGAGCAGGCGACTTTCTCCCCGTCTCATCGCACAGCTACCGTAGCGTCAGCCAGGATCAAAGCGTGGACAAATGAATCTACCTCTGCCATGGCCGTTGAGGCCCCTTTGATGGAGCGACGCCAGACGGCTCACCTGTCTGCATCGCCGAAGCGGGCCACGCCGGTACCCGGTCGACGAGGGGCAGCTTGACCTCATGCCAAAGACTTACAACTGGCTAGGCCGCTTCGATGCAGCCATGGCGACGATGGCACAAGGCGAAGAGGCGGCCAAGCCAAGGCCAGACGGCCACTCCCGACGGCTTGCCGGCCCCTGCGGCCCGCGACGCGAACCCAACCAGCCAGGCAGGCAGGCTGGACCAGGTGGGTCAGGTAGTTGGGCTGCAGTACCGGGCCGCCGTCGCCCTCAGCATGATATGGCAGGCAGGCATACACCCCTGCCTGTCCGCCGTCAGCCCTGGCCCCTCCTCGGCGACGGGCAGCCCGTGTGGCGATGCGCTCCGCCCTAGCCTCGACCTCCTCCTGGCCCCAGCGAACCCAGCCTCGTGTGCGAGCTGCAAGGGCCCGGCGCTTTTTCCCTCTTCTCACCATCGGGCCACCTTGCTCTGATCGCGCCGCCCCTTTGTCGGATCCTACCTCTGGCTCGCACCCGCACCCTCGATCGAGCTCTCGACGCCCGGTCTTGCAATCCTTTGTTTCGACACCGAGTCAGCCTCTTCCCAGCACAAGGAGCAAGACGTACGAGGCCATCGCAAGCAAGCCTTCTGTCTGTGTACATACGGTATCGCCCCGCCTCTCGTCTCCGCCCATGCCTCGGCAACGAGTTGAGGGGTTGCAAGCGAAATATAATGGAGCGCCCAGAGGAAAACGCCGGGCTGTTATTGGCCAGAAGCCGCCTTCGAGGCGCCAAAGCCCTAAGGAGCACCCTCTTCCGCCGCATCTCTTGGTCCTCGCCTGAGCCTAATTCACATCTTCTTCTCGACAGAAGAAGAGATAGATAGAGCAGACAGAGGCCCGGCCCGTCGCCACGCTTGCCGCCTCATCTAGAGCTGGCGGTACGGGTACCGTACGCACGGTAGCGACAGCACGCCATCGCACCGCCTCGTTCCGACGGTCAACTTGACGCCGTGGAGAGCAGCTGCCGGGCGTGCGGGCGGCAAACCTCTTTCTGCGAGCAGCCCGCAGAAGAAGGTGGGGAAAGGCCACCCATGGCTACATAGGGGCAGGTGGGTCGATGGGTGGCCGTGTTCCGATGCAGGCCAACTCCAAGCCGGCAATCCGCACGTTCTCGTCGTCGTCTTGGTCCGCCAGCCAGCCAGCCGGGGCCGCTGCCGTGCCGTACGTGCGGTACGTCCTGTACGATACGGTGCGTCTCGACGCCGCCCACCGTTTCCACCGCGGGGAGCAGCGTACGCGCACACGTCTGTCGATCGACGTCGAAGGTCGAAGAAGCCAAAGTCGATGACTGGCATGCCGATCGCAGTCGATGCTGGTCTTGCTGCTGCCGCTGGTGGCGATGCCGATACCGGTAGCCACGCCGAGGGCCAGCGCCACAGACCCCGGAACCCTCTTTTGAGCGTCCGGCATCTCCTTGCAGCTGTCTGGCTTCCCGGTCAGGGGCCAAAGGCGCGGCGAGCATGGCACCGCCAGGCACGACCGCGCTTGGCACTGAATCGGGGCCGACACGGCACAGGATAAAGCTCAACATCGGGCCATCACCTCGTGGTGGCGTCGTCGCAGCAGCCACATTGTCGACTCCGACAGCACCTCGATCTCCTCCATGGCACAGAGCGGCAGGCTCGTCCCCCACAGGCTTCACACGTCGTCAGCAACGGTTCCATTATTGATCTTCGACCTCGCAACCCTTCTGCGACGTCCCAGCGTCGTCCAACGACGGATTGTTCTGCGTTGCATTGATGTCGGCTGTACAAGGGGCAGAGCAGGATCAGAGCTCGTCCTTGCGAGCAGCCGCCTTGGCAGCGTCGGCCCGCGGGCCCAGAATGTCGAGGAGCTCGACTGGGTCGAAAGAAAAGGGGGCAGAAGCGGGACAAGGCGACCATCAGTCCAACCGCCACCGGTCTGCCTCGCCACGACATAGCTGCGCGGGCCCCGCAGGCACTCACCGTCAAAGACGAGCGCCGCGTTGGGAGGAATGACACCTCCCGCGCCTCGCGAGCCGTACCCGAGCTCGGGGGGGATCTGGAGCTTGCGCTTCTCGCCGATGCACATGTCGGTCAGGCCGCGGTCCCAGCCGCGGATGACCTGGCCGGTGCCCAGGGTGAACTCGAACGGCTGGTTGCGGTCGAGCGACGAGTCAAACTTGGTCTTGTCCCACAGCGTTCCCGTGTAGTGCATGCTGAGGCGGTCGCCGTTTTGCGACTTGATGGGGCAGTCCGTAGGGCGGTGCTTGACGCCCACCTGGAGCTCCGTCGGCGGCTCCTTTGCGAGCACGGCGGCGGCAGAGGCAAAGAGGACGGCGAGCGTGGCTGCGACCTTCATCGTGGCGGGGGGATATGTTTTGTGTGGCGTAAGGTGCGTGGAGGGTTGCGGCGAGGCGCTGATGGTGTCGGCGGTGAGAGGGTGGCCCGGAGCAGCAGCAGCCCATACCTCTCACCTGCGAACCAGCTCAGACGAGGCTGACGTGGAGCCGGCTGGGCTCCCTTTGGCGCGCCCCCAGCCTCTTGCCGGTTCTTCGTGCAGCGTGGCTGGCCTGAAGGCCAAGCCCTGCGGTCGAGCCAGCCTTGAGCGGGGCCAGCTTCACTCGGCCGGTTGAAAGAGGGCTGGCTTGGCCCGCCGCGACTCTTGCAGAACCCTGGCGGCCACCTCTCCTCCCCTCTGCCACCATCCACCCTCCAGTCTTTCGCTCGCGACTCTCCCTCACCCGACCGCATCGACGCAGCACCCGCAGCATCCCCATCGAGGACCCAGCTCTCCCTCCGGCTCAGTTCGCTCTTCACCCGCCGCCTCGCCGCCACCATGTCGACAGCGCACCGTCCCACCTGGGAGGCGCAAAAAGCCAAGGCCGACTCGGCCCACCTCTCAGCGCAGACCGTCAAGGCCTACGTCCCGGCACACACCCGCCTCAAGTTCCGGCAACCCGCCCAGTCCGCAGATATCCGCAGCATCCAGACCAACCCGGAGCGGCGGAGGGACCTCAAGCGCGAGCTCGAGGCGGCCGAGAGGGAGGCCAAAAACAAGAAGAGGATAGCCCAGGGCCTGCCGCCGCTCGAGGACGACTCCACGGCAGGGGGGCACGCAGCTGGGCAGGAGGAGGAGGAGGAGGAGAGTGTCAAGAGGCGGAAGCTGATTGAGCAGGCGCGAGAGCTGGATCGAGACGATGACGACGATGATGGCGATGACGACGAGGAGGGCGGAGGCAAGGGCGACGCCAGGGCAGCAGGACACGGCGCAGCCAACGGCAAGGTCAAGGTCAACGGCACCGACGACGCCGACGGGCAAGGAGGGCCAGCTGCCGCTGCATCCGACGCCGGCTCTTCATCCGACTCGGACGACTCGGACGACTCAGACGACGGCGACGATGAAGAGGACGATACGGCGGCGCTGCTGCGCGAGCTGGAAAAGATCAAGCGGGAGCGCGCCGAGGAAAAGGCGAGGCAGGAGCAGGAACGCCAAAATGCCGAGCGGTCGCAGCGCGAAGACGAGATCGCACTGGGCAACCCGCTCCTCAACCTCGAAAACGCCATGAAGGCCGGTTCCGCCTCTCCCTCGGTCGCCAACGGCGGTGGCGGTGGCGGTGCGGGTGGCAAGCGTGGGTTCGGTGTCAAGAGGAGGTGGGACGACGATGTCATCTTCAAGAACCAGGCTAGCGGCGCGGCTAACCGCGACGGCGGATCTGGCGGCTTCGTCAACGACCTGACCCGTGAGTCCAGTCCGCTCGTCGGAGCATCGAGCGATCCTTAGGAGGTGAGGATAGGCGGCCCCCCGGTGCTCACCGTTGTCGTTTCTCCCCCTTGATCGAATGTCCTGGCCTCTGTTGTTCCACGGCAGGTTCCGAGTTCCACAAGAAGTTCATGAACGTAAGTCGTGCCTGCCGGCCCTTGTCAGCTGCAATAGACAGTCGAGGCGAGCCAGGAACTGACGGCATGTTCCCCTCTCCTCGCCCTCGCCCTCGCCCTCGCCGCCGCTGGCTCGACACAGCGCTACATCAAGTGATGCCCATGCACGCTACACTGCACCCGACTTAGGCTGGGCCGGTTGCAGAACCGATTTCGTTTCGTTCCATTCCATCCAAGCCCGAATCCTGTATCACTACTCTACGCCGTCCAATCCATCGCAACCGCAAATGCCGAGTCGCAGCAACAGCAGTGCGCATGCGTATCACAGAGCAGGGGGTACCGAACCCTGTCCCCTCATTGGGGCAGGGGCAGCTCACCTGGTCTTCCGGCTCTCGCCGTCCCACTCGACAGTCTGGATCTGGAATCCGGCAAACTTTTCCAGGCGGGACGCGAGCACCTCGGCGCCGAGGGTGGCCGAGGTGAGTACGCCGCCTTTGGCCGCGAGCGGGCCGCATCGCGCGCGGTCCTCGCGCGCGATGGTCAGGGCCGTCTCGACAATCATGCGGCTGGTGAGCGTGTAGCCCGGGTCGCCCTTGGCCTTCATGGTGCACACGGCCGCCGACTTCTTGGTGCGCGCCAGCGTCTCGACCCTCATCATGCCGTTCTCGAGCTTGGACGGCGACGGACCGCCGTTTTCGGGCAGGATCGAGGTGAGCAGCCATCGGAACTGCTCGTGGGTGGGTCGGGCCGGGATGGCAAAGAATGGCGACGATCCGAGCGTCAGCGCCTTGTTGACCACGTCCAGCAACGAGCGAGAATGAGCCCGTTTTGCGCTTCGACGGCACGGCTAGGCTACTCACGATGGCAATGTGGCCGAGCGACCAGCCAATCAGTCCGACCATGAACGACGCGAACCACGCGATGGGCCGGGCGGGCACAATGGCTCCATCCTGGTACTGGAACGTCTTGCCGTACGCCTCGTCGGCGTGGGCCTGCTGCAGCAGACCCCAGGATCGGTTGACGATGCGGTGGTTGTGCGGGGTAAAGGGCGTAATGGCGCCGTACTTGTTGAAGTGGGCAAAGTAGTGCGAGAGGTAGTGGGTCGACGTGTGTGAGCCGACGACTGTCGACGGAGCGGTGCAGGGGGACAGGAGGAAATTCAGGGGACCACCACTGGAGTCAGCACGAGGGCGGGTCCAAAGCAAGAGCAAGAGCGGAGGAGGACAGGGAGGCACTCTACGCACCCGGGCTGAGCCAGTCGGGCTTGCAGGCCGACAGCTGGGCTGGGTCGTGATGCATGTCGATGGCGCTGCTGATGGTGCCGCTCGACACCTGGTGCGCAGCGACGGGGAGAAGATGGGAGAGGTCGGGAGGTCGCCGTCAGTGGAGCCGTCGCGGTCATTGACCTTGCCTGGCATCATCTCGGATGGGCAGCACGCCAACTCACGCCTCCCTTGACGACGATTCCGCAGTCGGCGGTCAGGACCTCGGAGGCCGGGCCGCCGAGCTTCTTGGCGTGCTGAACGGCAAGGTAGGTCGAGAGGTCAAAGGGCAGGGCTGCAACGGGTCGCAAGGATGAGGAGGCCGGAGGTCAGCGCCGGAACCGCCTCGTTCAAGTGACGATGCCGCGAGTGCGGACTCACAGTCGAATCCGACCGAAGGGGCGATGATGATGCCCTTGGCCTGGGCCTCGAGGTGGTACCTGGCGGGCAGGGCGGGGACGAGAAGCGATGTCAGCATGCGAGGTACAGCAGCAGCAGCAGCAGCAGCAACAGGAGAGATCTGCTCCTCTGTGCTCACCTGTCAATGAGGGTGGCGTTGAAGCCAGTCTGAAGCGGCAGGAGAGGGGGGAATGGAAAAAAGAGCAGGTCAGCCAAAGTCGAGACGAGTTTGCATGCCTGTCTGGCGACGGCTCACCTCTCCGCTGAGATCGACGTAGGAGGTGGCGGCCTCGACGCAGGCCTTTACGACGTTGTCTGCGTTGTTTTTGCGGTAGGGGCCGGCGAGGTTGATGACGACGGAGACCTGCTTTGCCATTTCGACGAGGGAGTTGTACTTTGTCGAGTCGGCCTCGAGGGTGCCGACGTCGGTCGAGAGGCCGAGGTCGGCGCGGAGCTTCTTGAGCTTTGCCTGGTTCCTGCCGCCGAGGGCCCAGCGGGGCGACTCGGGGTGCGAGGCGAGGTAGCGGCAGACGAGCTTGCCGGTGAAGCCCGTGGCTCCGTAGACGACGACGTCGTAGGTGCGCGACATGGTGTACGTGGCTGGGAGGGGAGCAGAAGAGTCGGGGGGGGATGCAGAGGAGAGACGGACGGCTTGGAGAGATTGAGGGGAGGTGGTGGAAGGGTGGGACTGGTTGGTCTTGTATGGATGGCAAGCAGCAAGCAAGGTGACGCCGGGTTGAGGAAGCCGTTGGAAGGAAGAGAGACGAGGCCTCGTTCGTTGCGGTACCCTGTACGGCTCGGCCAGGCGGCAGCAGCCAAGAAGCCCAAGCCATGATGGCCAGGCAGGCGGATGGGCGTGAAACTGGTGCATGTGCCTCTGTGCAGGTGCACCGGTGCCCGGCATGGCCACGGCTCTCGACTGCCGGCTCTCTGGCAGACCAGCCGCAAGCCGACTTCCGAGAGCCAGTACGAGAGCCGGATGGCTTCCGACCCGACCATGCCAGCGCTCGGAGCCGTCACGTCCAAGCCTAGGCCTATTTGGGGTGCTGGACCCTAGCCTGCCTGCCTCAATGTGGCCTCGCTCGCTGCGCTCCTCACTCGCGCTCGACGGCGTCGACGTCACGCCCAGTCAAAGTGACTCAGCTCGCTCGCCGTTCCGTCGTACGTTACGGGCGCTGCGCCCCTCGTTGGACCCTGGCGTCATGTCGTGGTACCCGTGCGTGGCACGCTCCTCGCTGCCTGGCCGCCCATCCCCTAGCCTGAGCTGCCCGAGATCGACTCCAAGAAGAACCAACGCACGCTAGGCTGGCCAAGCTTGCTTCCATGGCATGGCATGGCCTGGCTGCGCGCGCAGGCTGGTCTGCCGCTGACTCAAGGCAGCTTCAGCCTGCCAGAGCCAAATCTTCCACACAGCCGGATCGACGTCGACGTGCGGCGTCCCACTCCACATCCGCCGCCGCCGCCGCTGTCGACGTGGCTTCCTGCCTTCGATCTCGACCGACAGCGAGCGTACCAGCTGGGGTTGCCTGCCTGCTTGCACATGCGGTCATCTCCAAGGGGAAGCAAGCCAAGGCTGCAAGCTGGTCACCCTACCGACCAGAGCCCGCCCGCCGTGTCCCTGCGCCGGGTGTCGTGTGCAGGCCAGGCAGACTGGTCCGTCCAACGTTGCCGCTGCTCGACGTCGTCGTTTTGGCGGGCCAGGTATAAGACCCTCCCTCGCCCTCGAAACCCGCCCTCGACAGCCGCACCACCGCACCTTCTCCGCTTCCACCCGCCCACTCGTCTGCCATCTCACCAACAGACGCCCCTCTCTCGCCACCATACCGAGCCCCGCCGCAGCACCTCACGCCGCCCGCCATGACCGACTCGATCCCCTCCAAGATGCGCGCCGCCGTCATCAAGGACTTTAAAAAGGGCTACGAGATCAAGGACGTCGACGTGCCCACCGACCTCGGCCCCAACGACATCCTCGTCAAGATCCAGGCCGCCGGCTACTGCCACACCGACCTCCAAGTCATGGAGGGCGTCTACGCCTCCCAGGGCGGCAAGCCGGGCCTTGTCGGCTCCCACGAGCCCGCCGGCGTCGTCGTAAAGGCCGGCGCAAAGGCCGGCGACAGCAACATCAAGGTCGGCGACCGCGTCGGCTCCATCAACACCTACGGCTTCTGCGGCCGCTGCGACAGCTGCAAGGTGGGCAAGCAGCTCTGCGACAAGATGCCCGGCATGCTCGGCCTCAGCCTGCCCGGTGGCTTCGCCGAGTACATGAAGGCCGACGCCCGCGTCGTGTCCAAGATCCCCGAGAGCATCCCCTGGGCCGAGGCGGCGCCCCTCTTCTGCGCCGGCTCCACCGTCTACGGCGCGCTTCTCGCCGTCAAGCCGCGAAAGGGCCAGTGGATCGTCATGCTCGGCGTCGGCGGGCTCGGTCACCTCGGCGTCCAGTACGCCAAGGCCATGGGCGCCAAGGTCATCGCCATTGACAACCGCAAGGAGGCCATCGACCTGTGCAACGAGCTGCCCTCGAACCTGCGCCCGGACAAGACCTACGTCCTCGACTCGGACGAAGCCAGCAAAAAGGTGCAGGACGAGCTGGCCGGCGCCTTTTACGACACCAACCCGGGCGTCGACGCCGTCGTCATCAACGCCGAGGAGCCGACGCTCATCAAGTGGAGCCAGCAGATCCTGCGCAAGGGCGGCATCCTCTGCGACGTCGGACTGCCCGCCGACGCGCCGTTTGAGATCGACCCATTCGCGCTCAACTTCAAGGAGCAGAGCGTCGTCGGCTCGCTCATCTCGACGCCAGAGCAGTGCCAGGACATGATCAAGCTGCACGCCGACAACGGCTGCAGGACCCACATCGAAAAGACCTACAGCGTCGACCAGGCCAACGACATGGCCGAGCACTACCTCAGCAAGAAGCTCATGGGCCGCCTCTGTATGGTCTTTGACGAGGCCAAGTAGACGACGCGGCCCGATGCGTGCTCCTGCGTCGTCCGGATGGGCGACCTCGATCGTTGTCACCGTCTGCAAACCGCCAGCATCGTCGTTGTCGTTGTCGTTGTCTTCGCCTAGGGAGCCCGCCAGGATCCTGACGCAAATATAATATCTGTAGCATATCCCCCAAGTCGATTCTGCATATCTTCATGTCCCACGCTGCCATCCCAGCTCTTCCTCACCGTTCAGCCTATACGCGGTGCCGAGTCCGCTAGCGCATCGACCGGACCAGCCGTTCGACGTGCTCCGGCAAAGCTTGGCGTCGCCGGGTCAGTACTGCCGCCCACGGCAGGGCTACTTTGCGGGGTTCCATGGCGCAAACGTCGCACAACGTCCCCCCTCTTTCGTGCCGCGTACCCTTTTGGCTCTTCCAGGAACGGTAGCAGCGAGGCCGTCGGTCCACAGCTTCTTCGGCTCACACACTCACTAGGTGGAAGTGCTGAGATCGAACCATTACAGCCGGCTTCCTTTTTCCGTCGATTTTCTCGGCGACTTTTTTCCCCCCGCCCCGTCGGCGCCTTTTTTTGGACGTGCCAAGACCGGCCGGGCGCACACGACACCGCCGCGTTCATCTGCCGGCGGGCAAAGGGCCGCAGCATGTCATGTCGTACAGGACGTTTGGTCGTTCGCGTTCATTGCAGAGACGTAGGATACCAGCAGAGCGTATCATCGGCTGCCTAAGCGCAGCACATGGTGCCGTCCTGGGGAAGAGCCGATGCCGCCGCCACAGCCACGGCCGTACGGCTTGCGTCTGCGCTGCCGCCGCACCCTCCCGCGACATCGAGCGGGACACTGACCACCATCCAGTCGCAGAGGAGCTTTCCGAGCCCGGCTCCGATGACGATCGAGAGGTAGACCCATCCGTTGAAGGCCATGGCGATCAGCATGACCAGGTACGCCAGTCCAAACGTGACGGCGTAGAGAAAGGCGCGGACGAGCTGCTGCAGAAACGTGGCACGGAACGTGACCATGGTGCGCTCGCCACCGCCGCCGCCGCTGCCGTCGGCATCGCAGCATACGCGCCTCGCCTTGGCCTGGGCGGCGACGTGGCGCTGGAACTGGCGGAGTAGGTGGACGTCGAGCTCCTTGCCCACCCTGCGCATCGCCTCGAGGCAGACGACGATCAGCACGACGCCGATGCACGATGCCGCGAAGCTGCCCTGGCTCTTGACGTGCCAGCTCTCGGAGAGAAAGCCTGGCGGGATCCGAGTTGGACAAGAGTGGAATCAGACGAGTGGTACAAACCTGCGTCGAGATGATACTCTGTTCGAGGACAGCGACTCACAGGAATCGATCGTGTTCCAGTTCCAGAGCATCTGCGGTCAGCGCAGGGCGTCGGGAGGACCAGAGGACCGCGTCAGAACGGCTGCCGCGCGTCGCTCATCCGTTAGTCAGTCGTGTGTTCTCTAGCATGCTCACCGAGAGCTTGCACGTGCCGTCTCCGCCCATGCCTCCGTGCATGCTGTGGTCCATATTGGGCGTTGTCGAACGGTTCGACCGTGGCGTCGTGATCAGAGTGCGGGAGGCGCTCAGTGGCGGGCCGCTTTGGCAGAGAGGGATGGATGGTGGGCGAGAGAGAGCAGGCGATGGCGGAGAGGAGGCCGAGAGTCGGTCCTGTATATGAAGCGGTAGCCATCCACCCTGTTCAACGACGAAAAGAGGCCCGAACGTCGAGCCTCAAGGCAGAGTATGGGAAGTCGAAGAAAAGGCTCCGAAGTTCCACGTACCCCTCGGCCCGCTGCCAAAGACAGCGGCGAAGGTGGGTCAAGGTCATGCACGGCAGGCTGCCTTCCATCGTCAACGAAGCGGGGAACGAAGAGCGGAGGTGAGCCAGACGAGCGGCGCCTTCGAGAGCAACGCCGGTGGGGCGCGCCAACCGAAACGCTCCGAGAGGCTTGGCGTAGGGAGAGACGGTCGACGCCTCGGCGGCCGACCCATCTCGCCACGAGGGCCGTGGAAGGCCTCTCGTAGGCGGAGACTTCTTCCATCTCGATCTATCTGTCGTTCTTCGCCGCTCCATCAAGAGCCGAGCACACGGTTCCAGGAGCGCCGCCTTTAAAGGAGGGCCGCCGTCGAGCTCCAGCGATGTCGGTGTTCGCCCTTCAACCAGCCCGCAATCCCTGGCGAAACGAAGCGCCACGCGTAGTCGCCTCGCTCGCCCCTTCTCTCTTCGCCGGCCGCCTCTATTCTCTCTTGGCCCTCCTTCCCCTCGGCTCCTCGACAAGATGACGGACGCAGGCCAGCTCATCGTCGCGCGACACATCCAAAACATGAGTGAGGCCACCTCGCTCGAGCCGCACTGGGGCTACGTCGACCGCGCGCTGCCCTGCACCAGCGATGCCGGGTCCTGCGCCTACCTCGACGTCGTCTACCACTCGCACGACCTCGGCATGCTCTACTCGGGCATCCTCTGGGCCACGCTCGGCGGCATCCTCTTCCTCTGGACCATCCTCCGCCGCGTCGGCACCCGCAGCGACGTGCCGTATGACGATGCCGTCTCACCAGACGACGAAGCACAGACGGAGAGCACGCAGCCAAAGGGCCTGGGGAGATGGACCTCGACCCTCGGCGCCGCCGCACGTCGCCACCTGCTGCCCGAGACGTGGGGCCGGAAGATCCTTGGACGGACGACGCGCCTCCAGCTCCTCATCCTCGCCGTCTTCGCCGGCTACCTGCTCATCTGGTCGTTAGCCGGCATCGCCTACCACACCTGGGTGACGCCCGTCAAGAGGCTGCCGGGCGTCTACAACATCCGCACCAGCCTCGGTCCGTGGGCGGACCGGGTGGGCACGCTCGCGTTCGCGCTGACGCCCTTCAGCATCCTTCTCTCGAGCCGCGAGTCGCTCCTCTCGCTGCTGACGGGCATCCCCTACCACCACTTCAACTTCCTGCACCGCTGGCTCGGACACATCATCTTCATCCAGGCCAGCCTGCACACGGTCGGGTGGTGCATCGTCGAGATCCGGCTGTACCAGCCGCAGCCCAGCGTCGCGGCCGAGTGGATCGTGCAGCGCTACATGGTCTGGGGCATCGTCGCCATGGCACTGCTCCTCCTCCTCTGGGTGCTCAGCCTGCCCATATCGATCCGATTTACGGGCTACGAGTTCTTCCGCAAGGCCCACTACGTCCTCGCCATGCTCTACATCGGCGCGTGCATCGGACACTGGAAGCAGCTCCAGGTCTTTCTCATTCCCGCTCTCTCAATCTGGTTCGTCGACCGCGCCCTCCGCCTCGTCCGGACCGCGTTGCTGCACTACAACTACCTCGACGCAGCCGACGGCAGGAGCAGGACGGGCTTCGCACCGGCCCGCGCCGAGGTGACGCGCTTCGAGGACGCCGAGCACGGCGACATCCTCCGGCTCGACTTTGACTACCCGCACCAGCCCTGGAAGGTCGGCCAGCACTTCTACCTCTGCTTCCCCGACTCGAGCATCTGGCAGTCGCACCCCTTCACGCCCATGTCTTGCCCGCAAAAGGGTCGCGATGACGGGGGCATGACGAGGCACACTTACCTCATCCGAGCCAAGAAGGGCGAGACCAGGAAGCTGGCCGACCTCGTGGCAGGCCGGACAGCGCCGACAGCGGGGTCGCGGATCGGCAGCAGCACCGACGAGAAGAGCACCGTGGTGACGTCGTCGGTCCAGACACCTGTCATCCTCACGGGACCGTACGGCGAGTCGATCGTCGACGGCTTGACGCTGGGAAGTCTCGACAACGTGCTCTGCGTCGCCGGCGGGACGGGCATCACGTTCGTGCTGCCGGTGCTGCTGCACCTCGGTCGGCAGCGCCTCCTTGGCGCGGGGCGGAAGAGGGACTTTGAGCTGATCTGGATCGTTCGACGCGCCGAGGACATCAAGTGGTGTCGGCCAGAACTCGAGGAGCTGCAGAGCTTCAAGCGGGTCCGCGTCAGGATCTTTGTCACCCGCCAGCATCGAGTGTTTCCATCGTCGCGCGTCGAAACGGGACTGGAGGACGAGGAGGAGGTCTTGACCAAGCCGATTTCCCCCTCGCCATCCATCCAAAGCGACCTCGAGACGCCCTTGGACGCATCGGATGAGAAGAGATGCCTGTCGGAACCCTCGTCAGCCTCCCGCACCGCGACGACGAACGCGCCAAGAATCGAGTATTCGACGGGCGCAGCACCAGATCAGCGCCACCCGGACCTCGGTCGATTGGTTCGCGCGTTCATCGAGGGTACGTCGGCGGGCCGAACCAAGGTGTTTGCAAGCGGACCGGGCGGCATGGTCTCGGACCTGCGCAAGGTGGTGGCGTCGAGCAACGATGCCGGCAAAGTGTGGCGGGGCGAGCAGAAGTTCGACGTCGACCTGATCTCGGACAACCGCCTCGAGTGGTGACCGGGCCTCGCTTTGTTCGGTCGGATATGGCGGCGCAGAGGGTGGGACGGAAAGGCCCCTTTTTCTCTCTAGCCTTCCTGTACGCAGTCAATGCGCAAAGGGGCGCGGTACACCTTGACTGCCCATACGGGCGCGGTACCACGTCGTACTGGGAAGAAACGGCGTCGTGCCGGAGGGGAAGGGTGAACGGGCCCGTATTCCTTTACGGCGCAGGACGCAACAAGGGGGCGCTACCTGCAAAACCAGTATCACGAGGAACAGGGGTTGGGCGAGGGAAAACGGGCACGAGTGGCAGTGCGGTTTTCGTGACGCAGACCTGCGTGTCGGTAGACGGCACCAAGGAAAGGGAGGGAGGGAAGGACTGTTTCTCGCTGGGGTCGCCCGAGGGGCGGGAGCGGCAGTGCTTCCGTCCCGACGCGCACGGTACGGCAGGACACAGGCACCAAAGCGGGGGGGTCCAACACCGAACTTTAGCGCGCGCGGCACGAGAGGAGAGGTCGGAATGCTGGCAGAGAAGAACAATTCCGTGCACCCATCCGCGTTCGGATCAGTGGGGAAACGCGCGTCGCGACTGGACCGAGGCGCGTTTGCAAAAAGGTTCTGAATTAGGGTCGACGCCGTCGACGCCGTCGACCCGTTTCCAGTCGCGGCGCGTTTGCACCAGTTTTGAATTAGGGTCGACGCCGTCGACCCGTCGACCCGTTTCCAGTCGCGGCGCCTTAGCACCAATTTCGAATTAGGGTCGACGCCGTCGACCCGTCGACCCGTTTCCAGTCACGGCGCGTTTGCACCAGTTTTGAATTAGGGTCGACGCCGTCGACGCGTCGACGGCGTCGACCCTGTGCACGTAATTTCATTTCCGGATTTAAGGCGGCACTGACCCTTTTCTCATGTGCGCGCCCCTGGGGGCCCCTATCTCCGGGCCAGCTGGACCCCTCAGAAAGGATAAAAAGGTTGCCCTCCTCGTCCATCCCTCCTTCCCTTTCCCCACCATCGCATTCCGAAAGAGGTCTGCCAAAAT